TTTTTTTTTTTTTTTCCTCCTGCACCGTGCCGTGCATTATGTTCCGCGTGCCTGTGGGGCGGGGGCTGCGACGCGCCCCTCCTCCTGCATGTGTCCGGGAAAACAAACAAACAGAAAGAAAGAAAAAGAAGCCCCCCAAAAGAAAACACCACAGCACGGCCCCATTGAGAAGGAGGAGGAGAAGAAGGAGGAGGAGGAGGAGGAGGAGGAAGTAGGCACCCCACAGCCTATTTCTACCGGCGAGGCGGCACCTCAATGACGGCGACCCGCCTGCTCTTGAAGAACACCTGCGCCTTTTCGCCGACGTGCATGTGGGCAACCGCCGCCTCCACCTCCGCGTCCGGGACCTCCACGACGGCGCCGTCGACGGTGACGACCGCGTTGCTCATTGCCGCCTTCGGGTTCTCGCTGAGATTCGGNCTCCGCGTCCGGGACCTCCACGACGGCGCCGTCGACGGTGACGACCGCGTTGCTCATTGCCGCCTTCGGGTTCTCGCTGAGATTCGGCGAGAGCATCTTGAGGAACATGCCGTGCTTTTGGATGATGGAGCGGGTCACGGCGAAGGCGAAGCGTCCGGAGTACTCCGACCACGACCCGCAGTAGAGGAACGGCTCCCCGAGGCCCAGGTGGCACAACAGCGCGATGTTGAACGCCGCCGTGACGCCGCTGCCGCAGTAGAAGACGCAGTTGGAGACGTCCGGCTTGCCTGCACCCCAGGCGCCGCAGAGAGCCTTGAGCAAATTGCTGCGACACTCATCCTCAGACTTGAGGCACTTGACCTGGTTGTTGCAGACGATGTTGAGGTTCCATGGCACGCACACGGAGTCCTCGATGTGGCCGGGCATTGTGTCCGCCGCGTACGGGCGCACTGTTGTGGCGTACCGCTCCGTCACGCGTGCGTCCACCAGGAAGGCGTTGGCTGGCACCTCTTCGATTGCGAGGGACCGTGCAAAGGCTGTCCCGTACCGCCAGCTTGCTGTTGGTGTCGGCTTCTCCTGCTGCGGCCCCGTCTCCACCGGGAGACCCGCCGCACGGTACGCCTGAAACCCGCCGTTCAAGACGTACACCTCGACACCTAGTGCGTGCAGCATCCACCACATGCGGCAGGCGCCCATCGAGCCGCACTCATCGTCGTAGCAGAGTGCGGGCTTTCCGGCGCCGATACCCTTCGCCTTGCACCACTCGATGAAGAGATGCACGTCCGGCAGAGGGTGGCGCGCGGTGGTGCCCGTGAGAGGCCCGCTGAGGTGCTCGTCCACATCGACGAACACGGCACGCGGGACGTGGGCCTTGAGATACTCGTTCATGCCGTACTCCGTTAGCTTGAGATTGTAGCGCACGTCGAACACCTGGTAGTCCGTGAGGCAGTCCGCAATGTCTTCGACGACAAGAAACACCTTGCCGGGATGCTTCGGGGGAACACTCGTGTTCGCGCTCATTGTCACCAAATGGGAAGTCCAATTATCACCACCACGGCCACAGCCAACCAAAAGGCAAAAGCACCGGCTCTATCTGTCGAGGGCAGCGCATACACAAACGCGCACGCGTTGTTTGGGGGGTACAAGACGGAAAGGAAAAGAGAGAAGCAGGGCGGTTCACGCGCGCAAGACACACTCAGGCAGCCGCGCAGGCGGCAC